ATAGATCACGCTTGACCACTGCGGCTGCGACGGGCCATTCTTCCTTGTTGTCTTCGGTGGTGCGAATCACAGCATAGTTTGCCTCGCAGGGTGAAGATTTATCTCCAAACACCAAACAGTTCATCTCGTACACATCAGGTGGTCTCGACATATCCAATCCGCGCCATAAATAACGATGGTATTTACAGTCCTCCGGTTCTAATCGCACATGACAGAACATAGCCGACACATCACCAGTAAGCGCAACAGGTTTCTCACGGAATCTCATCAGTATGCCAGGTAAATCGTTGTGGAAACTGGGTCCAGCCTGAAGACAATCGTTAAGGCAGATATCACCATGTTTTGCTGCGGAATCAAATACTACTCTCGGTAGGGGTTTGTGTGGGGAGAGAACCGGGTGATGGGGTAGGAACCACTGTTCACCATGTTTTACGTGCTCTTCTTCCGATAACTTGCGTGCAAATCCCTTCTCAACATATGCATTTATCGCTTTTAAATATCCCTCAGCTAACTTCGGATCCTTCAAAAGGCGACGTTCAACCGACTCTAGGCGTTTCAAGGCAGTGTCATAATTATTAGGTAAACTAGGTCTGTTCGTTTTCCAAAGAAGTCCGAGTTGATAACCAAACTCCTGCTGTTTGCATGATTGATCAAGAATGTCCAAGGCTTCTGCTCACCAGGCGTGTAAGGTGACTTAATCTCTGCCCGAACACCGAAACTGTCCACATCCCAGAACTTTCGTAACTCTCGATTAGCATCGCCTTCGTCCTCCGACACGTGGACACACAGGACACGCTTCTCCTGACCATTGGAGGCGGGGACTGGGCCGGAAATCACCCAACCTAAGGGTGTCAACTCTGCATATGGCTCTAAATGCCCCCCGCGTCTAACTTGCACGGGTGCCATTAATGCAGCTGCATCTAACCCTAACAGGACATCAACAGTGCCCTTACTTAGTGGCTCTATTGGGACATCATTTAGGTGGGCATAATTATGCTTAATCTCAGGCCAATTAACATCTGGGACAGGGGCACAAATATTATTAATGGTCCACCCTGTTATTTTTGCCTTTGTAATGTGTGGTGCAAATGGTAAATGTACACGTTGTGATTTCACTACGGTGCGTACCCCTCCTACTGCATCCACAGTAAGACTTTGCTTAGGCCCCTTTATGCCTAACTGATTTGCAAACCCTGCTCTTACAAGTGTGGTCTCACTTCCTGAGTCTAAAAGTACCAAACCATTGACTACCCTTCCAGAATCATCTATAAATGGGACAGATACAGTTTTCAGGGCAACCCTCTCAGTTATGGGTGTGCTGATTTGTGCTTTCCCACAATGCATTGCTTTGTTTTCCTCTGGGGTCTTAGGTGGGTCATCAGATGGTTTCTCATGCTTAGACTTAGAACTGTGCAATAAATAATGATGGCCTTTGTCACATGAGTCTACCCCACATTTGGAGGACTTTGTGCACAGGCGCCGTTGGTGGCCAGGTTTCAAACAACCAAAACATACCCTTTTATTTTTTACAATTTCCCAACGTTTTTCAACAGAACTATCAAAAAACAAAGGGCATGAGACTTCAGTGTGTTTTTTATCACACAATGGACAATTTTTTAAACTTTGGTGTTCTGGATCAAATCCAGATGTGCGTAGAGCATGGACCCTACCTCGCATGCGACCTGGTGGCTGAAAATTAGTTGACTCTTTACCCTTATCTGGCGGCTCAATATTGTATCGCTCACGTTTACGCATGGTTTTGGCTCTAACTTGGGCCCACTTGGCTAAACCCTTCATGTCTTCCGAGTAATCTTCACTCTCAACCTGTTTTACCCATTCATCCCTTTCTCTAGGTGGGAGTTTTTGAACCAACAAGGTACAAAGAGGTATACTAGCTAATTCCTGCCTATAGTCAGGTTTATCTAGTGCAAACACAGCTGCTTGTAATGCATCTGCAAAGCGTTGAAACTCTTCACGATCCTTATCCTTAATGTGGGGCCAAGAACTTATTCTGCGCAAATGGGCATCTATAATTTCTCTGGGGTCCCCATACCTATCAGTGAGTTGTTTCACCGCCCTGTCATAGTCCCCAGGCTCCCCGGTCAGGCATGCAATAACTTCACGTACTCTGTCCGTTAATTAAACAGCTATTCAGATGAGCTAGCTTGATTGCTGGCGTTAGTTTATCGTTTTTATGGACAAGAGAACTAAATATTCCCCAAAAGTACGGCCACTTATCTGGTTTTCCATCGAATGATGGGATTTCAACACCTTTCAGACCAGTTCTTTTCCCAGACATTGAATCGTTCACAGTTTCAGTATTTTCATCATTATTCTGAGCAGTTGGTGGTGTAATACTAGACTGTTCGTTTGGCGATGGGCTCTCAGACTTTAATAAATATTCAGCAACTTCTCCCAGGACTTCGTTGACATCAAATTCTACCTCTTCTAACCAGCTACCATCAGTCTCAATGGACCTTTCACCTTTTGACTAAAATTTAGATCTCAACAAGTCTAGACAAAAATTTTATCACAGCTTGAAAGAGCATCACAAAATTAGTAATATTCCAAAGTTTCATTGCGAAATGTTGTAAAATGCGGATAATATAGCCTTGCGAAGTTTGCCATTTTCAGTCATTTTGTATTACGCGCGGGAAATACATACCTCCTTCGGAAAAAGGGTATGTATTTCCCGTTTGTAATACAAAATGACTGAAAATTGCAAACTTCGCAAGGCTGTAATACCCGCATTTTACAACATTTCGCAACGAAACTTCGGAATATTACTAATTTTGTGATGCTCTTTCAAGCTGTGATAAAATTTTTGTCTAGACTTGTTGAAATCTAAATTTTAGTCAAAAGGTGAAAGGTCCATTGACGCTGGATCAAGCTCTTCCAGTTCTTTCGTAAGGTCACGGGCTTTCGTACGACCTTCTTCTACACCTTTGGCAAACTGTCGGACTTTCGAAACACTTCCATCGCTAGAGATCAGCTCTCTGACACGATTCATATTTCTTGTCACGCTAGCTTTCGCGACTTTTCTCTTCGCTCTACACTTGTCAATTTCGCTTACTTCTGGCATTTTCTTTCTTATCCGGCTCGACGAAGGACCAGCTTTGTTATAGACGGCGTGTAATTTTCGTTAACCATGAGGTTTTCATATATTTATTTAGTACAACTCAACAGTTTTTACAGAAAAACCCTGTTTCTCAAAACGTTTTGTGTTCGTTCTGTCCTCTGACCTCTCTATTTTCAATGTTACTGGACAAAAGTCTATTACCATAATAAATTAACATGAACTATATAATAAACTGGACAAAGTCCAAAACACTTGCTGACTTCAAATGTGTTTATATTCCCAGCTGAAGCGTGTTTTAACTTGCCGTCAACCCCCGTCGCCAAAACAATTTCGGTCAGTGTACCATTTTAAAATGGGTCAAAGGTACCATTTTAAAATGGGTAATTAGGGGTCAAAAAATTTTTCCGGACATACCAAAATTTATTTTTATTACAAACCAAAATTGCCCGGCTGTTGATCGAATATTGCCCGACTGCACATCCCGTGTGCTTTTGGTGAACAAACATTGGTTTTTGTGGGGCCAACTTTGAATGGAAGCAAGACAGGCACTTGGCCGGTCAATGAAACAATGTGAAATTACAGTAATATGCCTGACTCAGAATTTTCGGCAAAGTCGGTACATCGATGGCGATGCACGTTTGTCGACTTCCAGCCTAGTTCCTGGGCAGCTTGATCGATTACGTCATAGACAGTGCATCTAATTATTCTGCATGCAATTCAAAAATTGAAGCCGTGATTGCAGACTCAGGATATTCGGCATATTCCCATGAAATGAGAAGACTCGTATGTTTTCTATTTCTTAAACAGGGAACTTAAACATTAAGTTAAACCTATTCCAAATACATTTTCAAATTATTCAAATGATGAAAGTTATTGTTGTTTTGTAAGCGTTTATTAGCGAGTGGGAAACTTCGACATGGCCGCCATCTATTCAAATGGGGGTAACCGCTGGAATATTCTTGGCTTCAATTTTACTAAAAGAGATGCGCTATCTAGTGTATACAGCTATTTCAATTAAGGTTGTCCACGAGCAAAGCGGAAAAGTCAAATACGAGCGCGAAAGGCTGCTGGGAATCGCTAACAAATTAATGAGTTTTCAAAGCGGTTCCCAGCAGCCTTTCGCGCTCGTATTCTCTTTTCCGCTTTGCTCGTGGACAACCTTAATTGAAATAGCTGTATAAGATATCTATGATTACGTCACACTAAGGTTCCACGTGCTAACATGCTTCAGAACGACAGGGACAAGGCTGCTGATTTCTTTGTTTTGACACAGAATTCCTACTGATTTATTCATATATACAATAAATTCACGACATATGTTGAACCCTAATCCTAATCTATCCCCGATTCTAACCTTAATCTAAACTTGACGACCTTTTTACTCGAGCTCAGCTCGAGTCATAGTTTCGGTCGGCCTTTTTTTCGCTCAAGACTTAGTCTCCCACGCGGCCACTCTTAATTCTGACCAATCGAAATAAATCGTGAATGCATGCATGTGATTATTTGTGATTATCTTATTGGCGTTCAATGGCTCATTCGATTTCCTGCTGTTCGTGCTGGCGTTCAATGGCTCATTCGACTTCCTACTCTCGTGCTATAAACTTTGTTTACTCTCTGTTTACTCCCTGAGGACTGTACTCAGCATTCGTGTAATAATAGTGCATTAATATCATAGATATCTTATATACACTAGATAGCGCATCTCTTTTAGTAAAATTGAAGCCAAGAATATTCCAGCGGTTACCCCCATTTGAATAGATGGCGGCCATGTTGGTCGTTCCCACTTAGTAATAAACGCTTAAACAGTGCCGCCCAGAGGGGGGGGGGGCAAAGGGGGCAATTTGCCCCGGGCCCCGAGTTGCTGGGGGCCCCTGAAAAATTTTTGTAGGGGCCCCGCCTTTTTTGTGTGTTAAATATTTCCGCGCAAAGGACAAGATATCTGTTTTCTTGGGCTAAGTACCGAATTTTGGCCTAAAAAAATGAGATAAAGTCACTCGAAAGCGTTTGCAACGTACGCGTCCGGCAAAATTTTGCGTCCGAAAAATTTTTTTAACTGACCGAAAAATTTTTGGCGACGGGGGGGGGAGGTCGCGAAAATAAATTCCGGAAAATTTATTTTAGGTAGGGCCCCCTAAAAAAATTTTGCCCCGGGCCCCCGCCAACCTCTGGGCGGCCCTGCGCTTAAAAACAACAATAACTTTTATCATTCGAATAGATTAAAAATGTATTTGGAATAGGGTTAACTTAATGTTTAAGTTCCCTGTTTAAAAAATAGAAAATATACGAATCTTCTCATTTCATGGGAACGACCTGAGACTGCAATCACAGCTTCAATTTTTGAATTGCAGAATAATTAGATGCACTATCTAGTGTATATAAGATATCTATGATTAATATGTGTACTCGATCAAGTATTTGTGAATGTATGCTCTTTACGTGTACTCGATCAAAAATAAACGGCTGTAGTGACCTGTACGCTTTCTAAGCGTGCTCGATCAAGTAAAAGGCTGTAGCAGTGTACGCCAATCTCGTTCCCAGAGTATGCCTGTTCGCGGGTTATGTAGTGGCATGAACATTAATGCGTGTTTTTTGCGAGAATTACGCGTGGACATACGCGAAGAGAGAATTACTAATGTTTATCAGATTTGGAATGCGATATCAAACAATATAAATCGAAGGATATAATATTAATCGTATGAACAAGTATTGGGACGTTGTATATATACTTACAAAATGGCATAGTATTTATGAATGACTTTTTATCGAGTCCACAGTATGAGTATATTGACATATTTGTATGTGGAAACGACGGCGTACAAGTTTCGTTTCCATGATAACCATGAAAGAATTGGCTAAATGAAATCATCACACACGTTGTGGTTGTTTTGTTAAATTGATATATTGTTACCAGGACTTTGGAGTGACAGTAATAAAAGTCATAAAAACTATTTTGTATACTATATTCTGATGAGAATCTGTCAAACAAATATATCGATTGTGAGCGTGTGCCTGCGCGAATTTAGTAAGCGGAATAAACAAGAGCAATAAAAGCGCATGCGCCATTTATCTCATTTTGGATAAAAAAATTTCCCCAGAGTCATGCCACTACATAACCCGCGAACAGGCATACTCTGGGAACGAGATTGCCTGTACGCTTATTTTACCTGTGCATGTGTTCAATCTAGTTTATATTCAAAATATCGATCCTTGGATTGTCTATGATCTAAACTGTCAAACTTAATTCCATTGGAATCAAAATACTAGTCTACATGCGGCAGCCGGGTAATTTATATACAAAATATCCATCACATGAAACTATCAAACTTTAATAATTCCATCGGCAGCCGGGCAGTGTGCCCGGCAGTCAGGAAATTTAGTCCTAAACTGCTAAACTGTTAAAATATATACTCTTAAAAACCTAAACGCACCCCACACACACAACCCTAACTCCTATTCCGAAGACCTTACCTTAAAATCAGACTCAAAAGCGAGCTCAAAAGAAGTTGAAAAAAATATAAAACTGTGTCATACGAGATTTGAACTGCAAGAACCACGCCGATCGAAAGCAGCGCCTAAACCACTGCGCCACAAAGTAGCTCAATCGATTTATTGGTGAATAATGCACTTTAAAAGGAGTAAGGTATAAAATGTAGTAAATCTTGATGTCAATCATTGATCTGAATACGCTGAATTCGATATTTTGCGATTTAATTGCAAATCGTGTAGCTCGAGTAAACGCTTAGCAAGCCGGTCTTGTTTTAATCATGATTACAGTCAGGGCTAATAGTCTGGGCTATTATCTATGCAGCTATGCTTAGCTGGCGGATAACAGAAAATTTCCTCTTTAAATTAAATGACCAATGTTTGTACGATGGTTTTGGGGGAAAACTGAACCCAAGTACACTATTAATTGCATGCACATGAATTATTGTCTTACGCATAGTTGTTCCTTCAGCTTCACCAGTTGCCACCACGACATACGCTTGACTATCTGCAGATGAAAAAACTGACCATTATTAAAAACCTACAGGTTATCGTCTAACCAGAACAATAAGACACATGGACTGATCATGCAAAGACTCTCAAGAAAACGATAATTGATTGGAGAGAAAAAAGCAATGTAGGGTCATTCATATGTCATCTATAGAGTAGAATATTGTTAAATTGATAACTCTTTACCTTCAGATACAGTGTCACTTGTTATATATACGTATTTACCCCCAGATGTACTATGGTAAGACCACAATCGACGAATATCTCCATCACCAATGGCAAGGTCCAAGACAGGTACAAAAGGAACTATTGAGAAACATTCGAAAACACAGATTTTACAGAACTTATGCCTCAGCTACAAAATAGGCAATATACGGACCAAATATCCTTATATTTAAGTTAAAGTGGCCCAATATAAAACCCAAATCTAATACTTCACTGCTGCTGATGCAAATAAGTTGTTTTCATTGCGAGAATATAGTTTAGATTTTATGAGTAGTCTTTTTAGAGGGGGGCGTTGGGGCCTATCGGAATCCGCGAAAAACCGAACAAATAACCGATAAAAACCGAAAAACCGCAGTAAATTACGAACTAAACCGAAAACCGAAACCCATAAAACCTGAAACGTTTCACATCTTGATTTATGCACCTTTTAAAACAGCAGTCGATTATTAAACCTGACCGTCCTTCCATACCGCGATCTTGCTCCAAAGAGAAAGTTAGTGGATGTACCTAACTCATCTTGCTGTCCTTGTTGACCCCTGTGAAGTATTATCATCGGCACTGACGTCAACGTCCTCGTCACTGCTTTCATCGAATTCGTCCTGGCCTTCGTCAGGGTTATTGCTGTCGATTGCATCCTCATTCGGATCGACATCGTGCAAATCTTCACCTTCGTCCAATCCGAAATTTAAAAAGAGGCGTAAAAGCTCACAGAGAGTTGCGAAAAAGCTCACAGTCATTTGAAGTAAGACTGACCGCTGGTAGACTGGTGTGCCATCAATGGTACATTTTGAAGGGAATCTGTTGTATTTGGGTACCAAGACCTTCGACTCGTGGTAATATGGACAATATGCAGCCCACTGAGCAGCACGTTTGACGCTCTCCTTCATTGTTGCACCGAAAGTCCTTGCATATTCAAGCTTGGAGATTTTCACTTTCTTGGCGTGGACGGTGGCGTGGCATTTCTCATTGTCTAGTGTCATACAGCTTAAAAGATTAAGACATTGGTAGTCGTACTCTGCGAGGATGCTTGCTAGTCTTAGTAGGCCCCATTCCATTAGCTGAATAGAGTCAACTGTTTTTGCAGAGACGTGACCTTGGGACCATTCAGTGCACCAGTGATGTTACGTTGAGCACGTATTTCATATTCATACTCTTCAAGGGTAGTTTTGCAATGGCGGTCTCACTCAATTGCTTCATTGGTTGTCTTCGTTTCATAAAAAGCGGCCTTATTATGAATAGAGAAAGCTTCATAGAGTGCACCAATCGCCCTGAGGAACCTTGCACAATGATACATTCTTCTCAATAACTTGAATACTTGATGCTATTTGTTTGCGCATCACATACATACACTACGCTGTCAAACTATGTTGCGATTCCCATTGGTTGCCTGAAAACTACGTACACGTCGTGACTGGTCCATCCAAGGAACCTTCCTCTTTACCTGAGAAAACCTCGACATCCTCAGTTGATTGCAACCTCCAAACAGAACAGTTTTTCTTATTGGTGTAGAGCAAATCAGAGCCAAATTTAGCTACTGAAATACAGGGGTCGTTTGGAGCACGGATGATCGTTTGGGGCACAGATTCATGTAAGAATAGCATTTTGTGTCCTTTACAGAGAAAAATTTCTAAAACCTACTCGGATGTGGGAAGAACCTGCAAAAACCGAAAAACTACACCCCCATGCCAAATCCGAAAAACCGCTAGCATTCTGGATGAAAACCAAAAACCGACCTGCTAAAAACCGCAAAAACCGTAAATCGCAAAAGTTACTGAAACCGAAAAACCGCAATCATTTGATGCAAAAATCGAAAAACCGATCTAAAAAATAGCCAAATCCGCAAAACCGAAAACCCCAACGCCCCCCTCTTTTTAGATTTTCTCAACAACATTGCAAGCAACAGGCAATTCACATGGCTAGAGCTTGCAGTGTACAAGTGGTAACCGCTGTCAGAACTTAAACAAACCTTTATCGTGATGACCTAAAGAATCTTCTTCGTCCGTACGTTTGCTGTTTTTTGTTCCCATTATATCTACAGTAAACGTAAAAAAATTTATGCCATATATCGTACACGAGAAAAGGCTTAATTGATTCCAGCAGTTTGATCCCAGGCCGAATTGCACTCACGACCCAACGTTTCCACACCGTAGCTTTCTCGTGCCGTCATCATGGCCGTGAGCCCGTGGTCTGTTAAGTGAAGGTGGGTCTGTAGAGGTTAGACAGCCCTGAAAGTAACGGCAACAGTTCGCTTTCATCGCGACCAGTAAAAGAAGTGTTGGTTTTACGTGTTGTGTCGTTCCTTGTTCTGGTTGTTTTAACAACAATAAAAGAAATCCCGAACTATATTCTGTTATATATAAATTAAAGGAGCTATATTCTGTGCTTTTATTGTTAGTCGATAATTTGTTGGTATAGACTTTGGAACATTCAAATATGGCAACTGGTTCATGTATGTTTTAAGTCCACCTAGGAAATGCAAAGAACACTTTATGGCCTGCTGTTGGAGAGAAATCGTTGCAGGCAATTAAACTTATCCATGTATACTTCTTACAGAGTTCTTCTGATCAGTGGCGAAGCCAGCGTCGTGTGAGTGGTCATGCAAACGAGCGCCGAAGGCGTGAGACATCCTAGGGGGGTCCGGGATCCCCCCGGAAAATTTTTGAAATATAGACTCCCAGAAACTCTATTTGCAGCAATCTGAGGATTAAATATCGGAAAATAGCTTGACCTAATGAAGGAAAAGATGTGGATATTTTGGCATATTTCAGACAACAATAATGAAGATCGACACAAAAATAGGAAATCTGTGGTCTGCAGTTCCGCTAATTATAGTCATACCGGCAATTGTGTATTTCTTTTCGATCAGAAAATATTAATGCATGTTCTGTATTGTCATATATTCTATATAGACTACATAATTTTTAATTGATTACTTTGGTATGCTATATCCCCTTATGGTATTCCAACGTGAAGTCTGAAAAGTTGTTTACATTTCCAGAACTAGATAAATTTTATCCACATATACTAACGGAACATAATGACAAATAGCTGCTAATACAGTCAGTATAATCTAGAATATAGGTATAATATGTAGACAACACGTAAAAGGCGTCACTTCTTTTTTACTCGACAAATTTAATAGTTTCGACAAAAATCTCCAATTTATTGTTCATACCTTTCCGGATAATGTATAACTCATTTTTTGGACATTTTGATTTCGTCGGATAACAACTGATGTTTACTACAAAAGTGCGCACACTGGACAATACACGCATTTTTCTAGTTTTGAACCATTTTCACTTAAAACTGCGTGGGTTATGCACCAGTCAACTATTTTGAAAACTAAGTTCGGAAGCTTAAAATGCTTAGTTGGAATGGCTTTCCTCGTGCGATCAGAAATTTATTGATATCCAAATTCAAACACAAATTTTCTACGGATCGACCTCGCACTATAACTATTTTGACGAAAACGACACTATATAGGCCTAATTGGTTTGGGTACGCGTTCCATACCTTCGTAAACAAGGTGAAACTTTAGTTAAAAATTGCATAAAGAAAATACAAAGATGCCTAACTGTTCCTGTAAATTTATAGTTATTTATGACAACAACAAGTTTTCTTATTTTCTTTCCAACAAAGGCAAAATTCCGAATCTTTCGAAATCTAATGTAGTTTACGAAGTGACATGTCCTGGCTGTTCCGCAACGTATGTCGGGAAAACAGCAAGACGCTACAGACGCGACTCTCTGAGCATATCAATCCGACCAAAAGTGCTATTGGACAACATTTTTAGTACAACTGTGAACATGTGCAATACATTGTAAACCTACACTTTGCTTTTGACAAACTTAACAACCCAACTGACAATGACGTTTCCACTTTAATTTCCAACTTAAAATACTGATTGACAACTCTCGAATTCTTCACACTATCAATTCTCGCACACCTAATTTTCTCGTGTTGCTTGAAGCTCTATATATCAAGTATACAATTCACCCTGTTTAAACACTGGACTCAAAGCCAGTAAAGAACTTAAGCTCTTTTTTTAATCGGATCAACCTAGCGAAAACGGCAATGGGCCTAAGCCCCTTTACGAAGTGACATGTCCTGGTTGTTCCGCAACCTATATTGGGAAAACAGAAAGACGTTTACAGACGCGGCTCTCTGAGCATACCAATCCGACCAAAAGTGCTATTGCCTATTAGACAACATTTTCACAACTGCGAACATGACTGACTGTGCAATACATTGTACCAAACTTAACAATCCAACTAACGCTGTCAATAATGTTTCCACTTTTACTGATTTCCAACTTAATAATTGACAACTCTCGAATTCTTCACACTATTAATTCTCGCACACCTATTTTCTTATTGCTTGAAGCTCTATATATCAAGTACCATTCACCCAGTTTAAACACTGGAAGCCAGCAAAGAACTTAAGCTCTTTTCTTAATCTATACATCCATATTTCATCACACTTACTTCTCACTGCACCTGTCGTGGTTCTGATTGAGACTTCCGTTATGTCATCATGCCTTGTCAACTTGTATCTAAGACCATGTATATATTCTTTTTCCACTGAATGGAAATCCGCCTTTACATATACACAGTAATCAGTATACATATAATCGCCCATATGGCTGGGATGCAATACAGAAGCATTCCGTAAAAACGAAAGTAGACTGCATGCTTCATAGCTCACAAATACATTCCGCACAAAGGTTTGAATGACTAACAAAACATTCCGTTGGTGCATGGTATCAAAATCGTATCATTTTAAGTATTACAAAAATTGTTTCGTTTCCATAGCTTAATGATACCAGGTGCCCCCATGGTGCCCCCCACTCAACCATTTTACCCCCCCCCCAGTCAAAGTCCCTTTTCTCCAAAATATAAGCAAAAACATGGAATTTAGAAGTGAGGTTTGATATTCTAGTAACTGAAATCTGCTTTGCCTTTGTGAATCTTATGTCCTATCTTTTATCTTTAATGCTAAACATTGTGTTGTAAATACCTTTTGAAACATTTCCAGTGGATTGCATTTCCCAGACCCTATAGATTTGAGTTGTTGGAAGGCTCGGCGAAACAAGTTAGTGACCGCAGGGGGCAACGGGTCCTCAACCAAGTG